CATATATCTGACTCACTCAGAAGCTGACTATTAGCCATCTCCATCTGCAATAGAAATTCCCCGTGCTGGCAACTCCACAGTTTTGAATGGAAAAAATGACTGAACAAGTATTTTAAGACCTTCCTCATCTGATTCTCTTGGAGAAAACAGCCACATGATGGCTGTGGGCACAGAAGTCCTGCTGCTGGGCTCCTTGGATGGAGGTGCTGGGGGAAAATCGTGGGGCCTCCCCACAGACAGCTGCAGGCTCTGCATCCTTCCTTCCAGAAGCAATGGATCCCCTATCCCCAAAGCCTTATCTGCAGTCCAGCACAGGGACCTGTTCCATGAGGCTCAGGCCTGGACAAATGGACATTCCAGCAACTGAGTCCTTACCACCAGGGGTTGACGAACCATGGCACATGTGGCGATGGCTCAACCACCAGAGCTGGACACTCCAAAGACCTAATGAAGAAGTGGGGCTATACCATTGGTTCCACCTATGGGGGCTATACCGTACAACACCTACAACTGTGCGGCAGAGCCTTAGACTATGCAACACCTACTACAATGGCCACTGCTTGAAGGCACACGTACAATGAAAGATCTCACAAAGTACAATAAACAAGCACAAAGCATGTGTAACAAAATGGCCAAATATGGTGTAGAGACACAAGAAGCAGGAGGCTCAGACATTTCATGTCCTGCCCTGCCTTTACAGTGCTAATGCCTTAAGCCACTGTCTGTAGGTGCCTAAAGGCACAGAGGTCATGGGAGCAGTGTCAAGCCTTTCTCGCCACGGCTAACAGCAGTTCAGGGCCATGGCTGTTGTGTGGCTTGCTATGCACAAGCCTCTGGCATTGGTCTAACAAACCCTCCTTACAGCAGGCCTAGTGATCAGTGTGTGATGCACTCTCAAGATGCATCAGGCAATCAACCCTATGGCTCTCAACACCACTAATACTGGTGAGGCTGAACCAGTATTAGAACTGGGAGGAAATTATTATTATTTAGATTTGAAATGGGGTATAATTAGCATCTTCAGTCCATCCCAGAATTGCCCAATCTGTAAGCGGCCACTCCAGTGAGGCGTTAGACCCAAGTCATGCTGGGGAGACTGCGAGTGTTGGGAGAGTTTCAGTTCCTCATCTGGGCTGACTTGTAGAACTCCTCTGACTTGGGAGAACCGCCTGAAGCTCTGTGTGAGAGCTCAGGAAATGCTACCAGAAGGCAGCAGGGGGTCAGACTCCCAAGCATTTATTTCTGCTTGTGTGTGCTTGCTCTCGACAAACCCCTCAGCATGTCGTGTGATTTTCCTGTCCCTCGAAAGGCTGTTCCAAACTGGTGCCAGGAAAGTTGTGCCTGAAAAGCTTCATATCCTGTCCACTGTCTCATTCCAAAGAGCCTGTTATCAAAAGCGGGGGAGGAGATGGGGTCAGAGGATTGTGGTCTAAATGCAGATTGTAGGATGGCTTGCATTTCTGCCGTTAGACTGAGAAATGACAGGAAAGCAGGGGAAAAGTATAGTGTGTTACAGTGAGTTAAATATCATTTTACCCTGGTCTCGGAAACATAATACAAGACATTGTGGGCAACGTCGCAGCAAGGGGGATAACAGCTCAGGGAACAGACCAAAATCTCTCTCCATCGTAAGCGCAGAGAAGGGTTATAATTTTCTATTAAGGCCCAGAGGATTTTTCCATGGAAGACAGTCAGCAAAACTGCAATCCTGAAATGAGAGACCAGTCTGAAAATCCAGGCTCCTTCTACATGTCTGAAGTGGAGGCAGCTAATCTGCAGCTGTGAAACAAACCCTGTGCTATCACTTTGTTAGGTCTATGGGCCACAATCTCTCAGATTCCTGTAACTTTCCCAAGCAATCTGTGCTTCTCCAAGCCTTGTGCTCCCTTCCACCCTGACCTGTATGTCTCTCTGCAGTCCTGGTCTGCCTCCCTCCTGGAGAACTTGCAACACATTTTCCAGAGAGTGCTGACAGGGAGGAGAGAGGACAGCATCTCTTTTGACTTCCTGCAAGGTTTGTATTTGGGTACAACAGCACAGTATGCAAAGTGCCCCTCTATGCAGAAGATACGGTACCAGTGTCCACTCGGTGTCATTGCCTAAGACATAAGGAAGCTGAGCACCATCTCCTTAGCGCTAAATCGGGACAAGGAAGGAGGTGGAGAAGGTTCAAGTTCAGGTTAAGGCAGCACAAGAAAGATCTTAGCAACACCTGGCCTTTGCAGCATTAGTGTGACCTCCGGCAGGGTCAAGCCCTGACCCACCTGGTGCCATGAACACCCACAGCTCCAGCATGTGCTCCCCGCAGCCGGGGAACAGAGCAGCTTTGGTGGCCGAGATCCAACGCCAGAGAGAAATTCCTGACAGGTCTGCCGCAAAACCTGATCCCCTTTGCTGGCAGCGTAATTGGGCCAGCAAGCTCCTGACTTGCTGTACCTGGCCTTAGGGAGGTTGTGAGCACTGCAGATGCCCCCCATCCCCCTAGTCACAGACCTAACGCCAGCCAACTCCTAGCTCTCTCCTCCACTTCTCCTGGTGCAGGAGTGAGCTGGACTCTGGCTGTTGTCCCCCAGAAGGAAAAAGGAGACAAAAGCCAAAAGCAGGAAACAGCATTCTGGAAAGGGAGGCAGGGGAGAAGAGGAGCAAGTCAGAGCAACAGTGCTCACTGCTGTGGCCCACTATCCAGACCTGCCCTACCTGGTGGCATTACAGGAGCCCCTTCTGGCACCCATGCTTTGGTTGTTGCTTCTTTCTGGTCGGCCCTTCCCAACCCTGCGGGATGGTTCCTTTCAATTACAGGCCTGAAAGGAGGCAGAAAAGAAATGGGCAAGGGAGAGGATTACCTTCTTCCCCCTTGCCATAAGTGCAAAGCCCTTCTGTTAGACTACTCAGCAGTGTCTGCTGCCAGTCAGTTTACAGGCCACAGTTCGCTGCTCTGTTTTGCCCACTCCAGCTCCACAAAGAGCCTTGGACCGATTCCTGCCCTGTCCCTGCCCAGGAACCCACCAAGACCGGGGCAAACCGGCTGCATGTGGCAGGCAACCAAGAGAAGGAGCAGCAGAGAGCCGCCTCCACTCCGCAGACAGTGCAGAGAACAAGCTGTCTTGGAGCTGGCTTCCTCCTCTCATCGCACAACAGGAGCCCTCGTGGCACCACGCTGCCTGGTGGCTCATCCGTCATTTCCACAGGACAGCAGAGCTGGCCCACCTGGCATGCGCACACCTGAGGCCCAGAAGCATGATTATAACAGGGCTGGGAGCTATTTCCATTTTCCCGTGATGCAGATCATGTGCTGAACCCCTTCCCTCCCCCCATCTCTCCCTGTTCCCTTCCCCAGGCACTCCTGGGAAAAGGCTGAAAGTAATCAGCTCCATAGGACATGCAGCAAGACTTAAAAAGCAGGTATTGTTCGCAGACAAATGACAAAGACAGACTGGCTTGCCAGAGCTCCTGAGAATGAGCCATCCCTGCCCCTGCTCCCAGGTGTGTGGGTCTGAAGATGCCAATGCTCCACGGAGCACCCACATTGCAGCACGGAGTTTGGGACAAAGTCACAAGGTGCCCAGAGACAAAAGCCTGTTGCACCAGCACGGTGGGGCACATTGCTGCAAAGGGAAACACTGGGATTCTTGTGTGCACCTCCCAGTCCAGGGCTATTGCTTGGTACTCACTACCCCCAACTCCCGCTCCATTTCTGACGGTGCACGGTGAGAGCCCCAGGGTGGTACCCTGGACAATCAGTTGTTGAGGAGGCTATTTTAATATCACGTTGCCTTCAGCCCCACTGCCACAGAAAGCCGGTGGGAGCTGCCTGCTACACTCTCTACCACGTTTCTCCAGAGGGCACAAGGGAATGGCAAAGTGCTGCTCTCTAAGGCAATGGCCCAGGATGTTTTCCACTGTGTTTTCTGTGCCTCAGGTGTGGTGCCCCTGGCAACACCACCGGGACTCAACACACCATGTGCTAGGAGCGAGGGGTGGGCCTGTCGCTTCTCTCTGTAGCTCCCAGCCCCGAGTGCTGAGAAGCAGATTTCATAGATTTCATAGACATTTGGGCTGGAAGGGACCCCATAGGATCATCAAGTCCAGCCCCCTGCCCCAGGGGCAGGAAGTCAGCAGGGATCATAGGATCAGATGCTCTTCCACTCTTTCAATCAGGGTTGAAGACTCCCTCATTCCCTCTTTTGGTCTTACTCATTAGCTCGGCACTACAGTCTCTCTCATTAAATTAGTGTCCATTTTCAGCAAAGTGCTTGGAGATGTCCTGGCATGAACAGACGCTGTCACCAGCTCAGGTGGTGGCTGCTCTGCTCTGCTCCAGCACAATTCTTCCATAAAGTCTCTGCAAAACACAACCAAGGGGGCTGTATGCAGTGGACATGGCTCACTGTAGGCCTGGGGCTGACCAGTCACTGGATGAGACCAAAAATCAGGCTGGAGTTTAGCCACGGATGGGGGCATGGACTCATTGGAAGTCCCCCTGCTCTTTAATTATGTCCTAAGGTACCTCCCCTTCCACCCTCTTTGAGTGGCAATTCTGAGATCTTCTATTCTCCCCACTTACACCTCTCTATTCCCAGAGTTGGCACACACTGTGGCTAAAAAACCAAGGGAGGGAGAAAACAAAGTGCTTTGTTGCTTTTTTAAAAGGGTGGGATAACACCATGGCCCTTATTAACATCTTCAGGGATGTAGCCAGAGAGACCTAATTAAAACCCACGCTCCGGGTGTCAGCTGTAAGCCCCAGGGGTCAGGAAGGAAGTACACCCTTCCTGCTGTGTGTAGTCCAAACTGGTCAGGCTGGAGACAGGCCACCAGCCACTATGGTTGATGTGCAACAGTCAGTGCCAGATTCCCAAACTGGTGGTCATGCCTGGGCTCCAGTGGAGCTGGAAGAATGAAAGGGAGGGTTTGTCTGGGTAAGGAGACACTAATCCTGTTTCATGGGGATTCTTTTTGTGCAGTTACATATCAACACTCTTCTCCTTCCATCCACTTACCTGGATGATGATTTACATTGTGTGGAAGAATCCTTAATTGGCTCTTTAGTTCCCAGTACTTCAGGGAGAGGCACCTTGGATATGCATGTTCTACAGGCTCCTATTTCATAATGCTAGAAAGATGGGGAGGAGAATGTAGGGAACAGCCAGCAATAAAATGAAACACCCAGCACTTGTGCAGTGCATTTCATCAGCAGATCTCAAAACACTTTGCACAGGGGGGGAAACCGAGGCAGGGGAAGATGACGCAACTTGTCCAAGGTCACTGTGCAGGCTAGATTAGAACCCAGGTCTCCTGTCTGGTGTCTACCCCACACCCCTTTAATGTGTGGCTTTGTGGGGTGATCACTGACCAGTGTAGTTGTGCTTAGCAGCCATAGCAGCAGAATGGCATATTCACCAATTGAACTTGCTTTGCCTCACTAGCACAAAGCAGAGTTTTGCCAGTAGGAGCAATTCAATACACCTGCACGCCAGTGCTGGCACAGCACTCCTTGCCGAGGCGCAGCCCCAGACTGATACTCTGTCCACTTGACTGCATTGCCTGTACACTGCCATGCACTCCAGCCTGTATTGCTGGGGGCCAGAAGCTTTGGGTTGTGTTACTGATGCAATTACAGCATTTGGGATGCTGCGGTCTTGACCGGAAGAGGGAATCAGGCACTCCATGATCCCCAACCCACCCTGCTCTTCTCCCCCAACACTGACCCATGTAACGGAAGGGCGTTGAGAGATACAGCTAGAAACACTACTTTAAGAGGCCGATGCTTATTTATTGCAAGAATATACACAGCAGAGGTGTACACACCCACACAGAGCCTCCCAGTACCCCAAATGGTCTTGAGCAGGAACTCACACCTTTCCCCTTATTCAAAACAGTCCAGCAAACCCTCCCAGTACAAAAGGGAAGTATTTAAAATGCAAACCAGGCAGTTGTGGCCAAGGCTGGTTTCTTGCTGCAGCTGCCCAGAGTGCAGAAATTGGCTTCTCTGGGTCCTGCTCATGACTAATTAGGCCGTGGTGCAGGGCAGCAATGGGATTTTTGAGGAGGCTTGACACAGTAGGGTGTAGGTTTGAATGGGGTCAAGATGTTTCTGCTCCAGGGCATCCCCTGGAGTACTAGAGGGGGTACTCGAGACAGCAAGACGAATCAGCAGCAGCAGTGCTGAGCCCTGGGGTTGCTCTTTTTTGGCAGAGAGGGAATTCAGTGGGAGCTGACAGGAGTCTGGACTTCTGCACGAGTGGTAGAGAGCGCTGACACTGCTCCAGCCTGGAAGGAAGCCCTATGTACCATCCAGCCCTGTGCATGCTGAAGAAGTCTAGGTCTCAATTCAGGTTTTGCAGCTTAAGCCCACCTCTGGTTCAAGTGCATTTGAAAGCTGAGGCCTCAACACAGAACAGACCTAAAGGTGAGCCTGCACTGAAGGATAGCATTTCCTGGACAGGCCTGGTTATCCCAGACAGTACGAGAAAAGATTATATCCATTGCTTAATGTACCACCTTCATAAACATTCAATAGATCCAGCTCCCTGCAGCCAGGAAGGCTGCTCCTAAGTCACACAAGCAGCTCCAGGTACTCAGGACCCAGCTGTGATGTTTTTACGTTGCTTTTATCTTCTACCATCTCCTCACTCAGAAAAGAGCCCGTTGGCTTCTCCCTGCAGCCTCTGCTCTCCATGTCATAGACAGCTGGACTCTGAATATGGCCAGGTGTCCTTAAGCAGGCAGCTTTGCCTCCAGTGTCACACTGGAGAGAGATGCTGCAGCTTAGACTTTGGCAGAAAGAGTTGATGGAGATAAAAGGGGGGCTTTACTTTGCTCCCAGCCCCACACAGGTGCTGGAAGACGGGAGCTCTTAGCAGGCTTTGCGCCTATTCGGGGGCTAGTTGCTGAGTGTACTGCTAGCTCCCTCTGTGCTTGCCAGGCAAGTGAGTTAAGAGATGGAGAATTCGAAGTGTCAGGACACGCTCATACCCACCACTGAGCTTGCAGCCAAGTGACACCGCGCTGCATGTTCTGGTGATGTGGCAGCTCATCCATCTCAAAGCCTGTGGGGCACTCAGCTTGTTTCTCCGGGGAGGTGGCAGTACACATCCCCAGGCAATGGGGCTTGGGATCAGGTCCACAAGTTCTGAAATGGTTTCAAATTCTACATGAGTTGGAGGGGCTGGAACCTGGAACCCCCAAAGACATCTGTCTAACAGGCAAACGTAACTCTCCTAATTAGTTTGGCTTTGGGCTTTCAGTCAGATGGATTCTTCCCCTCCCTCTTGAAACAGGTCACTTCTTGGATAATCTCCCCACACCCCTGCAAATTGCTGTCCTCTGTGCTGAGCAAGCTCAGCAGGTCCTCTTCTCCCTCCTCTACCTCTCCCACCTTCTCAGACCCATCCTCATGCCGAGACAGATCCACGTAAACTAGAGCAGTGGCTAGAAACTGTTTCCCCTGCACTGTAAATATACTCACACTGCAGTGCCCAGGGCTGTCGGCAGCAGGTCGGTGCCTGGTTGTAGCACTCTGCTTTGTGCAGGGCCCTATGAGCAGTGAGAGGCAGCTGGAAACCAGCCCTGTCAGCAGGTTTCTCAGACCTTGAGGTGTCCTCAAGCGCTCCTGTATTGATGATGCGAGGACTGTGCCGCCAAGGGTGACTGGAGGAAATATCACCCTGGTACACATGAATGGCTGATATTGATGTGTCCTCCACACCACCGCTGGCTGGGAACAGAGACCCAGGTGCTACTGAAATGGGAAGGCACAAGGACGGTGATACAGTTCCAGAAAGCAGAGGACTTTGTTTCTTCGCAATCTGAGCCAGTGGCTTTAGGCTGCACCAGTTTGGATACCTGGTTCTGCAGGGGCTCTCAACAGGCAGGGCAATTACACCTACTGCCTACAACCCCACATTTCACACCTGTGTTCAAAGCCCCAGCAAGCACTGTCCAGTGAGTTAATCAGAGCCCTAGAGGATGCACACACCACTGAGCTACTACACCAGGGAGTGTGGTGGTGGCTGCCTGGAAGGGGCCTGAGGCTGAAATAGCAGGATTTGTAATGCTGCAGGTTGTAACAGATGTGCACTGGCAGAGTGGGTGGACGGGTGAAAACCAGGAGTGCTGCAGGCTAGACCAATGTGCAGATATCTAAGTAGCACCTATGCCCACTGGAATGCCCCTCCACTACTCCCAAATCCTTAGCCCCAAGCTTTAAAAATTCCCCCGCAGATTGAAAAGAAAAAGCAGGGAAGGCAGAAACAGCCCAATGTTTGGTACCATTTGTCCTGACTGAACCCTGGTGTGGAACGAGCCAGGAGCACCTGGGCACTACAGCCATGTCCAACCCCGGCACCCTCTTACCTGAACTTGCAATCCTGACACAACACAGCACAACTCCACTGCAAGCCAGACGCGAGTGGGAGACGTGGGGGGTTCAGAGCAGAGCTCAGACTGCCAGGAATCGCACCTCTGCACACTCATTATCTGGCTTGCAGTGCAGATGCAGTTCCTGAGTCAGCAGAAGCCTGGCAACACTAGTGAAATTTGTCTCCTCCACTGTCAGCAGTGCTGGGGCAGTGCAGAGTGGCTGCTGCCAGTGTTTCACACCCCGCTTAGATTAGCTCGGCTCTGAGCACTGTTGGATGACACAGTGCTGAAATGCCAGCAGCAGCCAGGAGCTGATCCACCCGGAGGGCTCTGAACGCTGCTAAAACTGAGGCACTGACATCGGCTTCTGGTAGCTGCGGTGACAGTTTCTAGAGGTAAGGGGGGTGCTGCACAAGGCTGCAGGCGGTAGCAATCCAGGCCTTCACGCTGCTCTTTGTAAGAGGAGTGGATCCCTACCTGGCTGCACCGGGAAAGCACAATGACCACCAGGCTAGCATGACATACAAGACAGCCTATTTTGGGGAGAAATCTGCTTTCCTACAAACTTCCATGCAACTAAATGAAGTTTTGCCAACCCAAATGGGCTTCCAGCCAAACCCCTCCAGGGTGCTCTGAGGCTAATTCTGTGCTAGCCCTCCTTTACTGGAACCAGACCCTTAGGGAGGATAGGGAACGTTTCCAGCTGGTACCTGATCTCCTATAAAGACTTTCTGTGCAAAGGTGGCACTGAGCTGGAGAAGCAGCACGGAGTCAGGGAAACCTGCTTGCACTGAATAGTAAATCCGCTGGCAACACTGTGACGCTCCTCCAGACTGCGTATCTAAATATAGCATCCTCATTTATTACCACGCTTGCTGCTGGACTGGGTGCAAGAGAAGCGCCTGTGATAACGCCTCCGTCCCCGACCTCTCCACCACTGTGAGGGAGCTGATGCACGTGTGGGGCTAGTTGCTGACCCACTGCTCACTCTCTAGCAGTAACTCTGGGGAATGAGCTGCTAGCCCAGGAACACAAGGACCCCAAACTGGGGAGAGTGGTCTGCTAGTGTGGGAGTCTTCCAGGTAGAAAAATCCCACTTTGGCCAGCGCTGGTTGTACAAAAGTACAGAAGACTAAAGGCCCTGTTTGCAGACAATAAATGCTGACATGACCATCTGCACACAGAAAGTAGGCCAGGCCCTAGAGAAGCGGAGGAGGAATCTCTTTGAATTGAAAGGGTTTGCAAGATGCTCTGCACCTGTTCCAGTGTGCCATCAGCTGAGCAGCCTGGCATGGGCAAGCCCAGCATGTGCTTTGGCCCCTCAGCTGACTGGCAAGTCCATTTATTTTAGAAGCAGGTCAAAGGGCCTTACGAAGAAAAATCAAGCTGTGTGTAGGTAGGGAGAGGCCTGGCTGGTCTCCCTCTTAAATTTAATCCATCAGAATAACAGGAAAGGCAGCAGACGCCCCAGGCCATTTTGAGATTTGAATGTGAAAAACAATGCGCCTTGGCAAGGGCACAGAAGCTGCTGTATGTCAAGCCCTCGTGTGATTGCGAGACGACTGAAACTTGCTGCAAACAACCAGCAACAAGTGCAGCGGTTGCAAGAGAAATATCGTTATTCAGGAGTATAAAAATAAACAGCAGGCAGCATTGGAATTAGTCATAACCAAAGAGGGGAAAAACACTGTCAGCCTGTACTCTCTGCAGCACCCCTCCGGGCTGAGGGAGGCACAGGCGTGTGGAGAGCACGAGACCTTAAATGCAGCCCCTTCTGTAAAAAAATAGATCTACACCATACAAACAAGCCAGCTGAGGGCCCTCTGACAACATAGCTCTTCCCCAGTATGGTTGTAATCAACTGGATGTGGCAGTGTAGATGGGACCAAACTGTGTAATAACCAGACTCCAAGCTAGGCAGAAAGCTTATGCTGGGATTTCTTTTAAACACAGCTCCAACCCAGTAACACCATGCTGGTTAGGCCCAGATACTAAGCAGTTGTCTGGACTCCCAGGGTTTCACCTCACACTTGCATTGTTCTTGAGAAGACTGCAGAGCTGCAGAATTAACCCTCCTGCTTCCCTCTGCAGGCTTCTTCCGAGAGGATGGGATATGGGCTGCTTTGTTAGCAGAACGCTGTGGACTGCTTCATCAGGTGCAGATCTAAATCCCAGCCCTGCATCTCAGATCAGCACTTGGCCACTTTCCCTCAGCAGCTGCAGTGAGACTGTGGGAAGGGGATTCCCTTCCCTGGTTGTGCGAGCAGCGCCGCAGTACCAGGGGAGCCAGGCTAACTAGGCTGGGCCAGCCCCACTGGGAGCTGCTGTTATGTTGCTTTTTTGCTGACGAGACCTTGGTACATTTCATAGCCGAAAACACCAAGGATGCCAGGGTCATTCTGGCTGCGTTAACTGTTCCCTCTGGGACTGCAAGTCATTTGTGCCAAGTACTCAGGTCATACAAGTGTTCTTTCCTATGCTCCAGATCCCAGACCGGGAAGGAAAACCTGACCTATATTTTGCAACCCCCCCAACCCCAGCTCTCTTTTATTGTGATACTCATAGTTTGTCTGTGCATACTGGCTGCAACAACAGATTGGGCTTTACATGGAGTGGGGGCAGAAGGGGCAATTCCCAAGGCTCAGCCAGTGAGCAAGGGCCTAGAGGAGTGTCCAGAACGAATCCCAACCCTTCCTGCTCCCGGGTGTGTCTTCTAGACCATCACGCTGCACCCCCAGCAAGTGCTGGAAGTGGTTTACTGCATTGGTAAAGCAGAGGAAAGGAGGTCAGAGCAACTCTGGGGGCAGCCCTGAAGCACACAAGATGTGGAGACTGGATTTCAGAGCAGGACTGGGGACCACCCTGGCCTGGGAATAGAAAGGAGAGCATGGGGACCCCATAGCACTGGGCCAGGAATGAACTGCCAAATGGCTTTCCCACACAACATGTCATAGACCTGAAACAAATAGTCACAGGCATTGGTGGCACTGATCATTCTGCCCTGCAAGTCACTGCAGCCCAGGGCACGCAGCTCCATCCTACCAGAGGAGAGAGAAGAGTTGCCTTCCTGTCTCCTCGGGTGCCCAGCCCCAAGCCTCACGTTGGGGTGTTGGAAGGAGGAACCCCAAGACACTCTCCCTGGTGCCAGTGAAGAAACAGCAGGATTCATGCTCAGGTTCACTGCAGCTGCTGATAGAAACTGCAATCCTGTGGGGGAGAGGGAGGCGGAGGCCTCTAGTTCCTGACAATCAGACGCCCAAAAACCAGCTGCAGCAAGTGAGACAAGTTACTACCATGTTCCACACCTACCGAGCACAGAGGTGCGGGTGCCTGCCACTCCCTGAGGAAGCAGGCAGCTTTGAAAGGGGCAGGGTACAGATATCTTCCGCCCCCACCCCGGGAGCTGCGAGGTAGGAAGGCAAGATCCAGGAATTCCCTGCAGCAGTACTCGGGAGCTGGGTGTAGGTCTACAGAGCCCATCTAGACATGGTCACTGCAGGGACTGAGGGCGCTCCAGGTTAACTTAGCACCATTCTCCAAGCTGGCTGCAGAACAGCCTTTCCCATCAAACCCTCCCAGCAGCACTGGGCACCTGCTCAGCTCAGTTGGAGGCACATTCCACGATCCAGCCAGGCCAAGGCCGTTCCATGCACAACCTGCTGCCCAAGTGAATAGCCTGGCACAGATACAGAATGTGCTCAGAGGGGGGTCCAACCTCAAGGAGGAGCAGCCCCCGCACCTGGGCAGCAGCCTGTGAGTAACCAAGGCTGCCAGGAAGAGGATCCCAGAGGCAGCTAGGGGGATTTCCCAAACCAGGAATGTGTGCTTAAGTCTGAACAAGTGGGGGAAGAAGTTGGGCAAAATTTGCATACCACTGGCATAAGTTTAGGAAAGTGCAGGCAGGCACTCTGCGAACTGCCCGTGCACATGCAACAACCCAGCTTGGCCAGCATGCCTTAAAGGTGACTTGTAGCACCCACTGCTGTTTCAGGCCAGGGCTCCATTCATACAGCTCTAACTTCCCTCAACATGCTGATGCCCCTTGCTAATACACCCCTGTACAACTGCCCCAGGCTCTGCCCTCATACTCCACCCCCCATATCAACCTGCCCCACATCCCATGCCTTGCTGCTCAGCCCCACTGCTGCTGGCACATCCCTGTAAGGACCTGCAGCTCCTTCTACCCCTACTGAAATCAATGCAGGGCCTCCTCACAAGCATAAGAAATCAATTTTGCAAATGAAATTACACATCCCTTTACCCCCTGCACTTCCTTGGGAGAACAACATGGATGAGAAATCCCCCTCATGGATAGCAGAGATGACAAGGACCAAGAGACCAAACTGCTCCCTTCAGAGACAAGGCCAGAGAGAGTGTGGAGGTGGGTTCTGAGATTCTGCAAACTTCCCACAGACACTGCATCTCAAGGGACCTGGCACCACGCTGCCTACACCCTGGAGAGTCCCTCCGCTCCACAGATGGCCCAAGGGGTTCCTTGGCTTCTCATACTGGGGGCTGGGAAGGGAGAACAAATGGAGAATATTCCCTGGCCAAGTCTACTCTATCAGAAAGGTCTATTCTGCTCTGGACAGTAAGGTGATTTCAGGCAGGACTTGGAGCCTGGAGTGTAATTCTAGCCCTCCACTTCCCTGTAATCAATGGAGAAGAGTCTCTGGATTTATTAGACCAGTGTTGTTGCCTTTTCAGGCCTGGCTGAGATGGAAGGGGCCCAGTGCATCCCAAGAGAGAAGGAAGTCTTTGAAGATGTCTCAGAGAAGTAGAGCTGGGACCATTCAGTCTTCACCCC